AAGTCCAAAACAAATTTAAACTCTCAATAGACTTTCAAAATAAAATTTTAACTTGACATAGGATTCCAATAGCATTCCAAACTTAAATTCTCCTTGACGTGCACTTCAATTAGAATTCTTCAATACTTCAAACAAGAAATTCGGGTCAAACCTAAATTCTAACAATCTCCACCTTAACACAAATTTCACTAAAGAATGAACTGACTTCTTCAACAATAATCAAAAAATTAATTTCTCCAACCAAACACAAAATACTCAACCTCTTCCAATAAATCCAAGCACTACTCTGCAAAATTATCTCAGATTCTAAAAAATCATAATGATTTTATAATTTACCAAAATTGGCGGTAACATACTATAAAGTAGAATCAATACCAAATGCTTTTACAGAAGACTCCTTTTTAGATTGTATACTTTCTACTCCACTTAAAGCATGCTCAATAAAATCAACATCCACATACCTTGTTTCACTGGGTCTAACTCTAGCAATTGAATATAATGACATCGCAGGTGATGGTGGCAAAGCGGTATTATCCATGTCTTCAAAACTCCACTGGGTTGTATTTTTCGAATTTGACCATTTATGAGCTCCTAAAGGTATTGTATCAAACTAAATGTCCACCACGGTACTGAATCTATCTGATTGACTCTTCCAAATTCTGCACGACCCTACAAGATGTATAATTGAGACATTTTCTGTCCCTCCAATATAACCGGACACCCTTACAAACTTTCAAAACTCCACCTCCACCAATGAACTCATAACCTTTTGAATCAAAGATAGATAATGAGATGAGATTCTTTTTCAAATCTGGAACATGTCGAACCTGGCCAAGTGATCTAATTGTCCCATTCAAAAGTTTCAATCTGACTGTACCAATTCCAGCAACCATAGAAGATATGTTGTTTCCCATAACCACGACACATTTGGAAACAGTTTCACATGTAGCAAACAAGTCCTTATTAGAACACATATGAAACACACATGCTGAATCAATAATCCAATCATCTTTCGATTTAGACTCAATGTCAGAAATAGTTAAGAGCTCTCCATCACTTACAACGTTTTCCATGAGATCTGCTTCGCCTAAAGTATCTGAATTTCTACTTGCAGCCATCATTTCTTTATTTTGCAATTTGTAGCAATCCTTTTTCAAGTGCCCCTTCTTCTTGCAGTAGTTACAAATTTGATTACTAAACTTAGTCTTCGATTTGCCCCTTCCAGAACCACCATGAGCAATCAGGCCTTCTCCATCTCTGACCTCAAAAATCAAATGCTTCATCTTCTCTTTTTTTAAAACAAAGCATCATAAACCTCCTCAATGGTAAGAGTATCACGACTATATAAAATCATGTCTCTAAATGAAGAAAGAAAAAGGGGCAACGAACACAATAGGATCAAGGCCAAATCTTCTTAAATACAGATGATCCTCCTTCTGCCATGCGATGAGAGTATAACCGCTATTTGAGATGCAATTTGCTTGTAAGACTCTTGGTCATGCATAATTGCTCCAACTTCAACCACAAAGTAGTTGCTGACCTCTCCTTCAAAGCATCCTAAAGAATGGAATTTGATAGATGAAGATAAATGTGAGAAACTGCCTTTTTATCCTTCTATAATTTCTCTTCCGTGGTTAAAGTTGTTGGCATCCAGTCAATACCCAGTAACGCATCATCTAAATCCAGCCATGCGAGCACTGCGCGTATCTTAACCTGCCATAGCGAAAATCTAGTACTTCAATCCAAAAGCGAAATGTCATATTTCATGGAAGCCATCATGAAAAAGAACTTTAAACAAATCAAACCATGCGCTCTTGCGGAACTGCTGAACCTTTGCTCTGATACCACTTGTTAGGATTGATACCACTTGTAGTGACGTCAATCACTGGATTGAGAAGTTGAAGTTATATGACAAATAATAATGAAATATATGATCAAACAAAAGAATAAAAGAGGACAATAATATGACAGACGAATTAAGATATTTTATTGCACTAAGAATAATGGA